TTCTTTTTGTGGAACAATTCTGTGTTTGCATCTCCCATGCACAGAGTGAAATGCTGGGCAATGAAAATTCCTCTGAATTTCCTAAGCGTAATGTTTATTCTTACTGCTTCATTTTCTATTCATGGATTCTATTTTGCAGCCCTAAACAAAAGCAATTACCGTTTGCCTCTTTTCTGTGTAGCTCACTTTGAACACATTGCTTGCATGGATTCTTGTCAAGCTGGAGGACCTGGCAGAGGAAAATCCAGGAAGTGAAGGACATTAGTGGGAGGAAGAGGGGAAGAAAGAGGAGATTGATACTGGAAGACTGTCTGGCAGTGATACTGGAGAATGGCAAAGTCTGGTGTTGCTAGTTAGACCACTGTAGGATGAAACTGAGCTCTGTCAGGCTGTTTAGGGGAGGAATTGGGGGTGGGTGTCATGGTAAGGGAGTAAGAACAAGCAAGAAGGTTAGATGAGAAAAGCCCAGGAGAGATGCTGATTGAAGAGAATAGGATTGTCTGACAAGAGAAGAGCATGTCAAAAAGGACATGAAAACACATGAGATCACAGCTTTCGTACAGCACAGCAGAAACACTGTGATAGTGATACTATAGTGATACTATCACTATGCTATTGTGATGCTCCTGAGGCTCACTGCTTTTCTATAGGCAGCAAATACTAGCAAAACCTCATGGTAAATTGTGAGTCATGTTCTCCTTCTTTACTGCTTGTCCAAACAAGAGGTGGCATCTGGCTGCTGCCACCAGCTAGTTCAGCAACTGAGGCTATTTAACCCATAGGAATGTTCCAGGCTTGCTGGAGTCTCATTGAAGTATAAACACAAATTCATATGAAATTACATAAAATACAAATAATAAGGGCATTTGGATTTTGAAATCAGTTGCTACAGGGGCAGGAAGTGTAAAAATTAATGGGCTATATATTATGTTGTCTGTTCAAGTATCATCTTTTTCAAGGCAGATAAACGACTTGCTTTATACATGAATTGGATCTGTGCAGCAATGTGGTCATTGTGAATAAAACCTTCCCTAATTTGTAGCAGAAGTTGGAAGGTATATGGAAAATGGAATTGAGGACTGTGGAAGTGAAGGGAAATCTTCTGAAGGCAACTGGTACCACTTCCAGAACTAGCTCTGCCAATGTGCTCCTAAAATTTTTAGATGGGCTACTAATTGTGTGTTCCTGGTTTTTTTGTGTACCCAGACTGAGAACCAGCTGACCCATTTTATGTTTAAGAGAAGTCAAAATTAGCTGTACTTTGAATGTGAAAGACTATGTAATGATCAGTATTCTGAAAGATTGGTGCTTCACACCAAACACTTGTACTTAGTGAAGTCTTCGATGCTTCAGGTATGATCAGAGGATTATGTACCTCACCTCAGAGGCATTAATCAGATACTGCATTAATGAACTCCACAGGGGAAGGAAAAAATAATAAAGAGCCTTTGAAGAAATCAGTCATTCTGGGTTCAGAGATGAGTATGTATAGTACTTAACAGTAGATAATGGACAAGTCTGTCCATTTCAAGGCAAGGATTAAACGAAAGACTAAATAATTTATGGTTCAGTGAGCACTGTTTTTCCTGTGCAGGGATTGAGGGAAGGGTCTAGTGTAAAAATGGTATCCAGTCATGAAATTAAGGATTTTGATTTAGCAGCACTGTAAGTTCTTTAGCAGCTTTTGTAATATGAGAGAGTGGAAATAATAGAGGAGAAAAGGGAGCAGAATGGAGAAGTGAGAAGCCCTCCGTACGGAGGGCTGTTACTCCATGGAATTAACTGAAGATTTCTACCTGGCAATCTTCTGTGCCACACCTGCACACATGCTTCATAGAGACATTTAGGTTTAGTTTCCTGCCCATGGAGCTCCTGCCTCTGGACTTTTCCAGAGATAAAACTGCATACTTTCTTTTGGAGTTTTACCTGTGTGACATGTATGAATAATATTTAGTAGCATCTTCCTGTAGCAGTGACTATCTAAGGAGCTAGGCAAGGAAAGGTGTAAGAGTAATCTATTTTATTAGACCAAGTGATGTAATAAGAAAAAAATGGGATGACTTTTAAATACTGAAAGAATTGACTTACTGGCATACAGGCATTGAAGTCTGACGTGTGGTATCCTGACCGCACCTTCATTTTTCTCTGTGTGTTACATCCTCATATTCTTGATAGGTTATGGTAAATTTCCTAAACTATAAAATCATTAGTGGATGGGACAGAAATTTATTTAAAATGAGGACAGGTATATTAAATGGTGTCATCATGCTGCTCTGGCATATAATTTTTATTGCTTTTGGAGCAGAATAGAAATAGACCATTGGCATTGGCATTCCTGAAGTTCTCTCATCTGCTATAAAAACATTGGTGTATTTCACTATGCTGCTGTGAGAACTCTGGGACCTTCTACTAGCCAGCCTCTGCTTAATACAATGAACAACATGCACCCAGGAGCAGCAGACCTTCTGTGAGCTTCTTCAAAATTTCTGTGTCACTTAGTTTAGTTTGCAGAGCCAGAGGATCAACAAAGGTCTTGCTTCTCAAAGCCCTTCCACTGCAGAAGTGCAGACCTTCTCTTTGTAAAACTTCTGCTTTCATGGGATATTTTGCATTTGCAAATACCAGCTGATGAATCACCTAATGAAACAATTCATAGCTTTCCATTTTGTTCAGGCAGAAATGCTGTGTCAGCACTCAGAAGAACAAAATATCTACTTTGTGTCTCATACTGTCTGTCAATCAAATTTCAGTGAGACATCTAAAATTTTTTACCAATATTTTAATTGAAGAGGATAGAATGAGTTCAAAATTAAACCACATATTTTTGTGTTTTATATTCTCTTTTATTTTATTTCATTCCTTCCAAAGTGAGTAGGTGGTATTGTGAGAGATCAGTGAACAGCTGAACTTGTCTTATGACAATGTCCAGAATTGACAAAAATCTGTGTTTCATGACTTTCTTCCCCTTTATTTTTTTTTTTTCAGTGTAGAGTAGTGACATGTGGTTAATTATTTTTTCTGGGTGCAGAGTGAAGTTGATAGTCAAGATGCAGACTGCCGAATGAACAAACTCTGAAATTAGAAATCAGTGTTGCCTGGGCTTTTTACTGCTGGGTTTCATGCTTTAATCCTTAACAAATCTGCCCTTTATTTTCCATCTGATATATGTCAGAGGATCATTTGCATTGTCATTCTTCTTGCCAGTGTGTATTTCAGTACAGGCAGATGGCAAAGATTATTTTATATTCCTAATGCATATGTCTGTAGGAGAGCCACACCTCAGTTTGCTGATGCTGGCTGCATGGGCTATGTGTTCTCAGGAGACCAACATGTTTGGAATGTATTCTTTTGCCCTTTCCTCTGTCCTCTCATGTTTTGCTATGATAGAAGCACTGGCAAATGAAAGGCTTGTTATTGATTTCTGTGCAGATGTTAATAATTTCCTTGTTACTCTGCACTGGAGTGGCAGTAACTGATGTACAAAATTTGACATCTTAATTATTCCATGATGGAAAGGAGGGACACTAAGCTGAGATACAGCAGCTTATTAACTCTGGGTCTGTGGATTTAAAGCAGCCTTGGGTCACAACTGAAATGAGTGAGGCTGTCTCAGTATAGTCTGTACGAATATTTGTTTGCTTCTCAAAGACACCTGACTGTCTTCACTGTATGTGGAGCAGATGGAAGCAGAAATCCCAAAACAAAAAAAAGTTTTACTTCCAGTATTGCTAGCCAAGCTGAAATTGTAAGTACTAGAAATCTCAGGAGATGCACGATTTATGAGCTTTCCAAAGTTATTGCTAAATATATCAAAATATGCAGCCCAAATGCTGCTGTTTATTAATCAAAAAGAGAGGTCCAAGAGTTTTAGTGTTTGTCCATCAGTCCCATCCAGTAGGCGTAGCTTCAGTTCCCAGCAGTTGCAGCTTTATGCAGAGCTCCTGTGAGCTGGAAATGTCAAGTGAATGACCAAGGTCACACACGCACCACAGGTCAATAGAAGATATTGAACAGTGAGCCCCAAAAATCTGATCCGCAGCCACTGATGGTGTTGCTATCATTGCAATAGTGAAAGCAATTCATTTACCAATAGATAAATATCAGGCTGTCATTGCCTTTGTTTTCAGCTGTACGTGACTGTCATCCCCAACCTTAAGCATAGGAGAGGCTGTCTTCAAGGGGATGCCATTTCACAAAGAACCATCCAATTGACCTGTGCACCATGTAGATAAAGTTCTCTTTAAAAATTATATATTTTGCATTTCTGAATACAGGATTAGATGACCACCACAGAATTATTATGTATGCATCATTATGCTGTTAAAATTCATATTCTCAGTCCAGTCACAGGCAGCCCCACAATAAGGCATCAGCATTTCAAAAGCTATCCGATGCTGAACAATAGACTAAGTAGCAAGAACAGAAAATTTGATTTCCGCCTCAGTGGAAGAAAAGATCTAGTATGAAAGAACAATTGTGTGAAGTCTGAAGACTTGATTGTTTTGTATTTCACCAGTAGCATCCAAAATTGACTTCAGTGATTTAACTACTATTAATCTTGAGTTATCCAGTGCCCTAGAAGGCAAGAAAAAATTGGTATTCTCTAATCTAATCCACTACCCTCTTTGTCCTCCAGAGCTGGGCCAGGGTTTGCCTGCATACTCTGCACTTCAAAAGGGCAGCAGTTTGATGTTTGCTACTTGGGTTTAATAGTCTCTAGTCCTGGTCTGAATCTCTGTATAGGCAGTAGTAACAGTGCAGGGATGACTGAGACCAGAAGAAGACAGAAAGCAGGAACTGGGAAAAGAAGTTTGAATTGTAGTCCAGCGTTTTTCGGCATGCTCAGCTGCAGAAACAGCATAGCCTAAACCTGAGGAAGGGAACCAATTAGGATTCCATTAAAAAGAGGAGAAAATATCTTTCCGAGACCCAAGTTACATCATAGTGGCTGAAGTGAAACCTTGGCCACTAATGTAGCCTTAATTAATTTTATTTTGCAGAGACAGCAAGCTCACCATGTTGCTTCGAGAGTCCTTGGGGAATATGAACTGCCGCACCACAATGATAGCTCACATTTCAGCTGCTGCAGGGAACTATGCTGAGACACTGTCCACCATCCAGATTGCATCACGGGTCCTCAGGATGAAGAAAAAGAAAACTAAGGTAAGACAATGTATAAGTCCCTTCTTGTAATGGTGGAGGAGGGAGGAAGAAGGATCCTTAATAGCATAGACCAAAATGTAAAAAAATCAGTAATCAATTCCAAAGTGCATGGGTTGTATGTACCTTGTTCTAGGCAAGCGTCACAGGGCACATATCAGAGACTAGGGTGGGTAAATGGTTCAGCTTCAGAGATAGAGGAGTGAGTTCAGACATATCTACTGTAGCAGATTTGTAAGCTGGCCTCATTTAATGATATAGCTGTCAGAGAGCATTTATTTTCCATTACGCTCTTAGTGCTAATGAAATAATAAGGAATGAAACTGCTGTAGAGTTAAAGGAAATTGGGATTAATTAAGAATTAGATTCTCTATGCTTCTCAGAGAGAGCAGTAGCAAAATAAATGCAAAACAGTGTGTCCGTTGCCAGCATTGGCGCCTCTTTTATTCCTACTGCTTCTAAATAGAGGTGGTAGATTTTCCAAGAAACAGAATGAGAATGGGCTGTATCCTGTTTCATGTTTTAGAGACCCGGTTCCTTCTGTGCAGCTTATGGTGTGAATTGGGCAGAACAAGTGAATGTTATGCATTTCACTTAAATTGACAGCCTAGAGATTGACAAAAGCTTTTTTTGTCATCTGACTGAAGAGAGGCAAGTGAAGGGATTTGGTCCACACACCATCAAAGCACTGTGTCTCCAGAGACCTCTGAGTGGATGTTATACAGTTCCACACACTACAAATATGACCAAACAGGATGATATGTAATGAGTTTGCTTGATCCTCTTCACATACACATACACACAAAATCAGCAAAGGCTTTGTTAAATATCTGATTTCTTTGGACAGGCTCAACTAAGAGTGGGGTCCTAATCAATTTTTTTAGCACTTTTTTTTGCAAGTCTCATGATTTTGAGTTGGACTCTGAGTTGAGGCATTGGGTTCTCCACTGAACATTAGCTGTGTGTTTGCTGTAGGACTGTGAATAAGCAGCTTCAAAGCTCTGTGCACTTAGTTTGGAAACCTCCCAGTTTAGGTGTGACTGTGACCTTATTGTGCACGTGGTTTGTGCAAGGAGCAGCTTGCAATGCTGAAATGTCATGGACTCTTTTTCTCTCATATTGCAGTACACATCGAGTTCTTCTGGAGGAGAGAGTTCTTGTGAGGAGGGCAGGATGCGGAGGCCAACCCAGCTGAGACCTTTCCATTCTAGAAACACTGTTGACCCAGACTTTCCTATTTTGCATTTATCAAGTGATCCTGATTATTCATCCAGCAGTGAGCAGTCATGTGATACGGTGATTTACGTTGGTCCCAATGGCACTGCCCTTTCTGATAAGGAACTGACAGATAACGAGGGTCCCCCTGACTTTGTTCCCATAGTTCCTGCTCTGCAAAAGACCAAAAATGAGGGCAGGTTGGAGGAAGTTAGTGAATCAGGGCCCAGCACATCTGAAAGAGACTGCCTGAAGTGCAACACCTTTGCAGAGCTCCAGGAGAGGCTGGATTGCATAGATGGCAGTGAAGAGACTGACAAATTTCCCTTTGAAGAGATGCCTGCTCAATTTAGCTCAGACCAGATGTCTAAGTGCTCTGTCTCAAGCCAGCTGGCAGAACTTAGCCACTTACCAGAGTCAGATAAGGAAGATACGATGCCAGAATGTCAGCATCCTGATAGAGAAGCCAAGGAAAATATAAATGCAACACCCAGTAAAACTAAGAGAAATCACTCCCCTGTTCCTTCTGGAGCTCTTACTAATCTTTCAACTCCTTCTTCTCCCAGGAGTGTAACAGGCAGCTCTAGTAAAGAGCTTAGCTCTTGTCAGTTAGCACACAGCACCAGCTTGCAGAGTAGCAGAGAAGGGCTCAACACTTGTGGATTCATGGAAGGCAAACCTCGGCCAATGGGTTCACCCCGGCTTGGGATTGCAAGCCTCTCAAAGACGTCTGAGTACAAGCCACCAACTTCTCCTTCCCAGAGATGCAAGGTCTATACACAGAAAGGAGTCCTGCCCAGCTCCACTCCCCCACCAGCTGCCCTGAGTAAGGATGCTGGGATGACATCTAGTGAATCTTTATTACAACCAGAAATTCGGACCCCACCTGTAGGCATGAGCCCTCAGATTGTGAAGAAGTCGGTGTCCTCCAGCAATGGGGATTTTGAAGAGACTGTTCTCAATGAAGATCAGCAACAAAGCATGTCTCCAGAATCCAAGAAGGAGATTCTGAGCACCACCATGGTGACCGTTCAGCAACCTTTGGAGCTGAATGGAGAGGACGAGCTGGTGTTCACCCTTGTAGAAGAGCTAACCATTAGTGGGGTCCTCGACAATGGGCGCCCGACCAGTATCATCAGTTTTAACAGTGACTGCTCAGTGCAGGCTTTGGCCTCTGGGTCTAGACCAGTCAGTATTATCAGCAGCATATCTGAAGATCTTGAATGTTACTCCAGTGCAGCTCCTGTGTCTGAAGTCAGCATCACACAGTTCCTTCCACTTCCAAAGTTGAGTCTGGATGACAAATCCCAAGATGATGGCAGCAGGCGCTCATCCATCAGCTCGTGGTTGAGCGAAATGAGCACAGGAAGTGATGGTGAACAGTCGTGCCATAGTTTCATAGCCCAGGCATGCTATGGGCATGGGGAAGCTATGGCAGAACCCCCTGTCTCCGAGTTTGCAAGCACCATACAAAGTGCCAGCATGATTTGTGTAAGTGACAAACAGAAGTCAGTGGCTGACAACATGCTTATACTGTCGGAAATAGGGGAGGAAGCTTTCGGCAAAGTGTCACCCATCAAAGGCTGTAAAATATCAGCTCTAGGGAAAACTACTGTCACAATCAAAAACACCGCAAGCCTTAGCAACTGTGAAGGCTACATCCCAATGAAGACAAACATTACTGTGTACCCATGTATTGCTGTTAATCCCTTCAAAACACAAGACACTGATGATACTGTACCGACAGTAACTGCAGACCCAAAGGTTGCTCATTCCCACGACAGGAAAGAGTCTAGTGCTAGGAAGGATATCAAATTTGAAGACCCTTGGCTGAAGAGAGAAGAAGATGTTAAAAAGGACAGCCCTGGGAGCAGTGATGGGCCAAGGCCTGACATGGCTGTGGTTTCAGCCAAGCCTGAGCACAGCACAAAGCAGTCCTCCTCAGATAGGTTTAGCACCAGCAGTGGAGACACTTCTATTTCCCCAGGATCTGACAGTCTAAAAAGGATTGTGGATGGGTGTGAGGTGGCAGCATCCAGCTCTGCAACCCAAAGTCCTGTTCATTCCAGTGACGGCTTGAAGAATTTTAGCCTCCCTCGAGGGGTCCCAAAGGCAAGCAAGGTGGAGGAGTCTGACAGTCATCTCCATCCTACAACCACTGACAGCAGCGGAGTCAGTTCTCCTGCCCTTCCCCTGTTTTCTAAGGCTAGTCTTGACAAGAAAATGGTATCTCCCAAACACTGCATCCTCACTCGTCCCAAAGGGACCCCTCCTCTACCACCAGTGAGAAAGTCAAGCTTGGATCAGAAGAACAGAGCCAGCCCCCAGCATAGTGCAGCCAGCAGCACCACAAGCAGTCCCTCGAACCAGCCTGTGTCCTTCCTGGCCAGTTTCCCCGAGGAGCTGAATGCCAAACAAAAGGGCCCTGGCGTTGACAGCAGCGTCAGCAACAGCAGCAGCAAGCTCTTCAGTGCCAAACTGGAGCAACTTGCCAGCAGGACCAACTCCCTTGGGAGGTCCACAGGAAGCCACTATGAGTGTTTGTCACTGGAAAGAGCAGAAAGCCTGTCCTCTGTGAGTTCCAAGATGAGCCCTGGCAGAGACACCACAATGCCTAGGGCTGGAAGGAGCCTCAGCCGCAGTGCCATGTCCTCACCCACCAACTCCGGCCTCTCCCAGTCAGCAGGTGCCTCCCCAAAAGCCAGCCAGTCAAAGATCTCTGCAGTCAGCAAGCTCCTGCTGGCAAGTCCCAAGGCCCGCAGCCTGTCTGCCTCTGCCACCAAAACACTCAGCTTCTCCACCAAGTCTCTGCCTCAGTCCGTAGGGCAGAGCTCCAGTTTGCCCCCAAGTGGGAAGAACATGTCTTGGTCAATGCAGTCCCTCAGCAGAAGCCGGGGCTCCAGCCTTGCTTCCAAATTGCCTCTTCGGGCTGTCAACGGGCGGATTTCAGAGCTGCTTCAGGGAAGCGCCAGTGCCAGAGGCTTACAGCTGCAGGGAAACTCAGAGGCAGATGAGCGTGGGGGCCTTCCTGGAGATGAGAAGCCAGCTGTTCACATGCTACCTTCACCTTACAGCAAGATCACCCCTCCTCGGAAACCTCACCGCTGCAGCAGTGGCCATGGGAGCGACAACAGCAGTGTCCTGAGTGGGGAGCTGCCCCCTGCCATGGGGAAAACAGCCCTCTTCTACCACAGTGGGGGTAGCAGCGGCTATGAGAGCATGATGAGGGACAGCGAGGCGACAGGGAGTGCCTCTTCAGCGCAAGACTCCATGAGTGAGAACAGTAGCTCTGCAAGCGGCAGGTGCCGAAGTCTCAAAAATCCAAAGAAACGATCAAACGCAGGTAAGCTTGTGGTGGTGTGAAAGAGGGATGCAGATCAAAGCAGGTAACTAGTAACATGGTGGGTAAGCTAGCCCTAAAGGTGAGCTAGTTAAATACCATTCTTAGCTGAGAAGAGAGGACAGGGTGTGTCCTAGGCTCTGCCTTGCTTCAGTTTGGAACATGCGCAAATCCTTTGTGGTTTCATTGCTTTGGCAGTGGAGTCTCTCCCTCACCTGTTGGACTTAGGTTTACTTCAGATGAACAAAAAGTGGTTAGTAATGCCAATGACCGCCACATTCAAGTATTTATTTATACAAATATACTTGTGACTTGATTCCAGAAAGATGCCTTTGTGAGACCATGAAATGTAGCTGTTAATCTTAAGCACTTGGGACACATGCACATTTCACCAGTTCAAGACCAGAGTCTTTCCAAATAGCTGTATCTGTTGTGATCCCACTTTTTCTCTTTATGTGCTCTGGATGCCCAAAGGTGCAAGATGCCCTGCATCTGAAACCATTGCTGAATTCTTTCTTCCATCATAGAAGATGGAATGAATTGTACCTATGCCCCTTGAAAGATGTTGTCCTGTGTCTGAAACTTTTGTTTTTTAACTTTTAACTTGACAGTCCTTTTCCCAGTAATTTATTGATAAAAAATAGTAGATTATATTAAGAATAATACATGGGAACTATTGCACTGAAGCAGTTGCAAATCTGAAACCTTTTTGGTAAGGATCAGAAAGACTTTCCCTTTGTTCGAATAGAATCCTCAGTAACTTTCACACTACATCAGGACTTTTTAATTAGAGGTCAAGAGCCTCCTGTGTAACACCAAGACTTTGTGCAGTTGCAACTGGTACATATTGTCACCAGAATGAGTTTCATAAAGTTGCAGAACAGGGATGGGGAGCATTAATGAGCTGGTCACCTCATCTTTTTCCTGGGCACTGCTCTCCCAACCTGTAGTTCAAGTCCTTCCTAACTTACTTTTGAAAAAAATACACGTTGACATTGGAACCGGTGTGCATAGGTATGTGGAATATCAGTGGCTACTTATTCTACAGCAGCTCTGGCTGTCCAAGATGTGTTTCTCTCCCAGTTTTCCTAATTCACCAGCCATTTCACTTGCTACGATACTCACCTCATTTGCAGTGAACAAACTGAGTAATGCATAACTCACTTTTCTTATGCTCTTGACTGTGGTGGCAGAAAGAACACATGCAGCACAGATGTGAATGATATAGATACTGCTGTTAAAACAATATCCATAAGTGCATGGCTGATTGTACCTGTTAAGAGGATGCATCTGAAAGTGATCTCTCTATATAGCGCAAACCCAGATGAAGTGATTAAATAATGTTTCTGAAGTTAATTTTGCATCCTGTGAGAAAACCTCTTTCCTATCCCTTCAGTTTAAGTGGTAAATTGATTTTCCTCTTTCTGAGGACCTCTTCCTCTAAAAGCTCCTTTCAAATATAAACTTTTACAGTAACTTGTGAGAAAAATAGGGATGATTTGTGTGTTGGGGAAAAGGAAAACAAAGCTGTCTACAGAGATGGAATTTGTGTGTGCATGCTGGATTGTCTTGTGGAGAAACTGCCCATATAACATAGACTTTTTCCACAGGTCATTTAGATGCAAAAATTTATCAAGTTCTGCAAAAACAGTCAACTGGGCAGATGAGGGAACAGATTAGACACTAGGGGACAATGTCTCCCATCCCTCCACTCCTTCCCTAAGGGACATATTTTTTAGAAGTATTCTGAGAAAAGCTTTAGGCAGAGCCTCTGTATTCTTTAGTCTGAAGAGTTCCTCCCAGAAGTAAATCAGTAGACGAGTAGGATTTGTTTACTCTGATGCTCACAAAACTAGTTTCATTTCACCTCTCTCTGCTTTGATAGCCCATTGGAGGCTGGACAAGGGTGGAGATGTGAGTGGGAAAAACATTGCCTCTGTGTTGTATTGACATACAACCTTCAGATGTGTGTGTTGTATTTTATACCAGGGCTGAATTTTGGCTCACAACTGTGGCTTTTGATAACTACTGTGCAGGACCGAACATTGTGTCTGTGGCCAAAAAAAGGGAGTTTTGGGGGAGAGGACATTTTGAGACTCAGATTTCAGTTCGATTTTGTAGCAGTCTGGAGGACACATCAGGTGAGAAGAGATTTCTCCAGCCTTGAGCCTACCTGGCACAGCATTGACACTGGTTTTTCACGCAATATAGGTATGCAAAGTTAGCATAGGGGGTAAGCAGAAACCTTTCCTTAGCAGGAACCATGAGGAGTCCTAGCTTTACTGCTTTTCTACTGTTGTATAACATCTAACCTGTCTTTTTCACCAAGTACAGCTGTTTTTTTGCTGGCTAAGAGCTTCATCTCTTTATTCTAATTTCTGGTGTGGGTTTGTTCCTCTTTCATTTGTCAGCAGTGTTGCAGTTATCTACTTGATACTGGACCTGAATGGGGGTGGAAGGCTTTCAGTGGAGAGCCTGTGTCCTTGGAAGTTACCTGCCCCAGTGAACTTGGCACAGCCTAGCACATTAACCTCCTACAAAGTAATTTACAAAGCTTCTCTCTTAATTCAGTATGTCACCTGATGTGGAGAGATTCTGAGTGTATCATCTCTGGAACTTTACTTTTGCATGTGATTGCCTATATCAGCAAGTAATTTCTGTATTGTTTTGAATGACTTGCGTTTGTGTATAAGTACAACAAGGGGTTTTATAGAAATAAAAAAAAAAAATTATCACTATCCCTATCTAGTATCTAAGCACTGTCCAGAAATCAATCAGGCTTCACTTTCTTATAGCCTAGATCCAGTTTGCATTTGGTCCTGCAGCAGTGAAATCATAATTCTGTTTTGATGCGTTTGATAATAGTATAATTTTTCACATGTCAGCAGATTTATGACAGCATGAAACCAGGATTATTGCTTCAGTGCAGGAGAACATGAAGGAGGAGTTGAGGTATAAGGGAGAATGGAGCTGTTCACAAATGCATTTTTATTGCATAATAAAAAATTGCAAATTTTTGCAATCTTTCATCCTCTGTAATATCTCTTTTCTTATAAGTGTAAGTGTTCTCTCTTAAGGTAAAATATTTAACGAAAAAGATAGAACACAAAGATTCTGAGCTCTTAAAAGACAGATATTATTTTAATACAAAGTGTCAAGAGCACTGGACCTTTCCTGATTTGTGGTCACAGATTCACTGTGCTGTAATGGATATGGCACTATAGATATGCTCATTTCAGGTCAGGCAACCTTGTCCACTTTATTTATGATTATTATTAACAGAAATGCTAGCTGTCAGACACAATCAACATGAATCAGCCCAAGGCCCCTGTAAAAGGAGCTATAAAGAGTCTTTAAGAGAATCACCAGCAGATCTCACAATTACTTTTGAAGTTCTGACACATTGGAGAGACATCATTTTTTCTTGAGATTAAGATCTTGTCTTTCAGTGCTCTTAAGTGCATTATTTGTATGTGTAGGTGCTTCTGCCCTGAATGTCGTACGTGAAGCATCAGACCTATATTGACAGCTTTTGAAGGATACAGCTAATTCATATCCTTCACTGTTAGCCTTAGGTTAAATTTTGGGCTCTGCCTGAGTGCCTGTACAGTTCACAGACAGCCTAGTACAAAATTGTGTATGTACAAAATTAGAAGAAAGTAGAAAAAATATATTTGCCTCTTGAATTCTGGTACCCATTGAAAAATCACATGTTTACATTATGAAGCACACAAGCTTTTCACCTGAAGCTAACCTATCTATTTAATCAACATTTAATAACATCTAATATTGGTTCTATAACATCATGTCAGCACATATTGGCCCAAAGTGACTGTTTATGGTAGAAACAGAGCTATTTAGCCCTGATCTATGGTTGTACATTTCAAAGCTTTGTACAGCTGCTCTTTAATTCACCCTGCAGTCCAAGTATTATTCCAGACCCCATTTTACAGATGGAGAAATGAAGGCAGAGAATTTTACTGCCTTGCCCAATGGCCTCAACCAAGTGAGAGCTGGATCCAGGGTTAAATTACAGGCACCCATGACTCCTAACCTCAACCACAACTGACTTTTGCCATACATCCTCCCCAGCCATTGCTGAGCAGTGGAGAGGAGAACTTCATTTGTTATTTTCTTTTTATGGCAGGCCCTTCCTCGCTCTCTGCCCACAATCATATGTACAACTATGCTTTCTTTGATTTCTTAGCTCACTCCATTACCCTTTCCCTGTAAGAAACAACTGGCGTCTCAGCCACATTTTTGTACTGTTATCAGTATTATTTTTAAATTCCTCAGAAATTTCAGTTTCAATGACCAAGTGATACTCCATGGAAAGGCAATAATAAGGGTACTTTTATAATACATATTCCTGTATGTGATCAGGAAGTGCATTCTGGTTGAACTCCATTTTGCGAAAGCTGTTATTTGTCTCCTGGGGATGCAACACATATGAGAAGGAGGCAGGCAGGGTGGCAGATTAGGACTTGCAAGATCTATGTTGTATTCTCTGGTGTGCTGGTTCACTGTATCACCTTGGGCAACTTGTGTAATTTTTGTCTTCTCTAGTTACCAGCTCATAAAAGTAGATAATGGTGGTACAAAAAAAGTGACAGCAGGGTCCTTAGATCAGAAGTGTTATCTGCCTGCTTTTTGCTCTTCTGATTTGATTTTTAGCATTTTTTCCTGAGTTTAGTTTTGATGTATGAGGGCATTACTTTGAGGTAATTCTCAATGCAAACATGACTGGATGATTTCAGAGATGCAGCTTTGGTGTTAGCTCCACGTCTTGCCCACTGTGAGCTAACATTGAAGCAAGATTCTAGGCTCGGATGAGGTTTAGCTAGTAAAGCCAGGTCTTGTTTGCATTCTCATGTAATGTTCATAAATACTTTGCTTCTACCTTTTGCCACTCTCTCCTACAGATGTTATTTTCAGGTTATGGCCCCTTATAGTGTTTCAATGCTGCCTATCAGGAAACCTTCCCGGAGAACAGCAGAACAGGA